AACGCTAAAGCCGCCTAAATCCCAAGCAACAGCCAACCCCTCCCCACGCCGGAGTAACGACATACTCAAGTGCTGGTTGACGGTGATGTGTTGAGAAACTAACTTCAAGATCTGAAGCTCGTCAAAACCTCCTCAAGCAGCATCCAGGTCTGCTTTTGGACTGCAAGGCCGACCCCCTCAAACCCTCGCCCGATGGCAAGGACGGGATTGGGGAGGGAGGAAGCGATAGCTGATTCGAGGGGATTCAGCGTTTAGACCGCGAGGGTGCAAGAGTCCTGGATGCAAAAGACCGCGAGGGTGCGCGGACTTTGTTGTCATCCTCGCAACGGAGGTGTAACGCTGCATGCTCCCCTCATGCGATGCGACCTACTGTTTCTGAAGCCCTCAGCAGCGAAGAGTTGTCTGCGTTCGTTTCGGATTTTCATCTTCGGCGTGCATGGGCTCGGAACCTTTGCGGCTTTGAGCCATCACTACGCCCCTACACCAGATTTTACACCGGAAGTGCTTTGCACGCCTGACAGTTTGGGAGCGACTCTGAGCTTGGCGTCTGCAAGGAGCTGCACCAAATGGCGGAGGCAAAGTCGAAGCTTCAGGAGGGACCATGGTGGAGTGCAGAGTCCTTCGTGGGTTGCGATAGAGCTCAGTCGTTCTTGCTCCGCAAGGTGTTGGCGACAAGCCTGCCGTTTCGTGTTTCTTCCATCACATTGTGACACTTGACATGTGCAGCAAAACCCGTTGCATGTCTTTGGTGATGACAAGCTACACCAGTTACGGAAAACGTATCATCGATTGGTGGAGCTTGTACGAAGTGACGCTTTCCCGGTCGGTCGAGGTAGCACATCACACTTAAGGGTTCAGATTGAGGACCTTCCCCACGGCAAATCCAGAACACTAGAAGCGAAACCACTCACCAAGTCCAAAACGGCCGTATCATAGTGACTAGACACGCCGACTTTGAGTATCCGGAGAATGCCGGTCCCTGAGCATTCGTCAAACCTTGGAACCCCAATCGGCCACCATCACGCAAGTCTCACCCAGGAGCCGGAACATACCTGCCGCTCATAATTCCGGTAGTGGACCGTTATCTTCTACTTCAGAGCTCAATTCAGGGCTCCTCTCATACTCTTATCTAAGGGTGGTCGAAAACCTTTCTGCAAGTAACATGATTCGAACATTCACCCTCAACCGACGCAGCACCACGAAAGAGTGCTGAAACCCTAAGCTGTTCCGTGAAGCCTCCCCCCCGTTGCCCCCGTCTCCCAGGAGACCTTGAAACTCGCAGAGTCCCACGCGAAAGCAGGCCTCCGTCGAAGCCGGCGGCCGTCGGTGCCACTGGGCTTTCCAAAGGCTCCTCACACATTTCGGGGTTCATCGGTCCCAGCAGCCAGTTCCTCAGTCAGCTGCTGGGGTGGCTAGCTAGGCTTCGGGTTGTTTATGGATGAACAGCCATGACGATATCTTACGAAACCACGGGGCCCGCAAATCTTTGATCGAAGCAACATCGCCGTCCATTCTTGTGAGGCTGTACCGTTGTGTCATGTACAATGACGGTGTGCAGTTTTGCCCGAGAAAAAGCTGCTCATGATGCAAGTAGTAGTTGGGATGCAAATGTTGGTGTCTGTGTTGTCATGATCATTGGTCAGAGCTCCTGAACTGCACGTTAGATTTTTCCGCTGCAACCAACGGCCTACAACGAGGTGAGAGCATGTCGGTCATGTTTGTTTACGGATAGCGGATAGCGTTTGGTAGACATGCCCGAAACAAGCATTATCTTATCTGTCACATCGTCCAAGCTCCCAGCGCGACACCGCTACGATGTGTATTATGGTATCTTAAAGCACAGTTGAACAAACATCAGGTTTGTAACCATCGTGGTATTGTGCAGTTCAGTCTGTTGAGCACAGTATATTATGCAGTATAATAGGATATGCTGGTACAACATACAACATATTATCACATAGCATAATATGATACCATATATACGATAGTAGAATACAGTATAGTTTAGTATAGTTAAGAATTGTATAGTACTGTATGGTACAGTATGGTTTAAAACATTGTAAGATAGAGTGAAAGTACGCATTTTGACACCCCAATCTTGGAAACCCTGCATACTCCAGCAGACTCAGCTACCCCACCAGACAACAGACTCCAAAGTACATGGCTTTGCAGAGAAGCACAGACAAGTATGCAGTAGCAGCAGGGCAGGTATCCCCGCCCACGCAAGCCCGGTTTCCGCCGAGGTCCGAGGCAAAGTTGGTGAAGGAACCTCGCTTGCTATTGCCTTGCTTTTCCGTATTAATATGTTGATTGTAGTTGTTTCGAGGTTATCGCAAGACGGCGGCAAGGATCATTTCTATTTGCCAAGGCTTTATGGAAATGCAGTGCGGCAGCGTTCAATCGCTAGCACACATAATATCAGGGCTTTGAGATTTGGCTTTTGGGAGCTTGAGCTCTGCATGGTGGGGAGGCAGTCGGCAGACATAGGTTGTGGCATTTACTAACTAAAGATGAGAGGGAGGATGCCGGGGTCGTGTATCCGGTTGCCTTTCAAGAGCAAAGGCCGTAGCTCGAGGGTGCAGGGCTTTGATTTGCCCTGCTGTTGCATTCACGTCGCGACGAAGAATGGCCTTTTCCTGCCTAAATACTTACTATTCTGTTGGGTTTCCTTATTATAATTACAGTATAATGAGCCCCCAAATCCTATTCTAATTATTTAGGCCTGTTTTTTGCATACCTGGCAGACCCGACTTCTCAACAAGCTCACATGATGCGAAGCAGCCAAGGACTTGTCTGCGATTTGCAGTGATTCAGTGAAGGACGCTAAGACAAAATGATCGACGCCGCATAATTCACGCTGTTTCACATTAATCGAGTTCCGGTCTCCTAGCTAGGAGCAGCTGCAGTGTAGAGGAGATGTGAATTGATAACGAGCTTGAACTCCACTATGTAACTCGATCTCACTGCCATCCTTAGCATCGTCGCCCTGGTCATCTCTATCCTCGTCTGCACAATCACCAGCTTCAGACACCACAGTGGAACAAGTGTGTTTTCACAAGATGTAACATGTACCAGTGCAGAGTGACACTAGAAGCATTCGGAATATCAGCAGTGCCAGCCACCAAGTTCGACGATGAGTGAGTTGATTTGCACAAGCACGCATAGAAAGACGCAGCATAGGACTTTGTCTGCAGCCGACAAGCCATAGGATGATTTCCTCAACCATTATGATCGAGTGGTCGCGGCAACCCTTCAAGACTTGATGAAACCGGCATGACGATAGTTCTTGTAGCCCTCAGTGAAGACTGTTTAGTACAGTTTCCAGGAGCGTATTTGTTACTTTGTGTGCTTTTTCTCTCACGTCACTTGCCTACGGATTTACACATGCCCAGTCATGCACACAAGAAAGTCACAAATATCTAAACAGTTACAACGGTATGCAAGATGGGACTGGAAGTTCACAGTGCTAATGGCACAAGCCATGACAGCAGTGAGGTCTTGACCAGAATAGGGAGTGAGCAGAGCAGTCATAGTAGCAGCAGTGATGGCAAGGGAGGGGAGATAGCACAGAATGAAGAATAAGATCGAAAGAGCATTGCAGAAACGAGTAACTAGACAGAAGAGGCGAAGGACCGGCAGCCCCAGCCGGCCGATGGAGCCAAGATTCCTACTGCTGGTCTCACCGAAGCCTTCCGCCGAAAAGGCGAAAAGGCTCTCCCAGCCCCCAGCACGGCGGGGCCCTCTGCGATTCTTGGAGAAACGTGCAACCCTTGCCGAATGCCAGCTGCTGGTTGCCACCTTGTCAGCAGGGTAGAGCCGCGGTCACTTCGAAAAGCGATCTACGGGGAATTTAAAACTCTTGCTTGGGGTTTTGGGGCGTTTGGCCTATCTATTTGGGCATGTTAGAGTCAACGAAGGAAGATACCCTTGGCATTCAAAAGCCATGCAGCTGAAATGCCGAAAATACCACATGCTGCAAGATGCAGCCGCTCCGTAGATTCCGGACTTGAAGCTTTCGGGTTTCGTGCTCTAAGAGTTTTTGCCGCAGTGCTGGGTACCAACGTCTGGCCTGATGCAGGATCTCAAGACTGGCTGAAGAACCCCAAGAAGCGTATCTCATCACGAACTGCAGGCTAAGAACCTTGCTTTATGTCGGTTCGGCCTGTAGTGCCTCATTAGAACTGCAAGCTCCACGCAATTTGGGAAACCCGCCATATTCCGGCATTCCGGTCCGCTTTTTTGCCGAGAGCCTGCCCGCCGCTGATGCCCTCACCCCCGCGAAGGACGGCCAGCGCTGCACATGGCAGCATTCTAGCTGGAAACCAGCCGCCCCAAGAGAAAGTCGGCTCCCAACTTTACATCCCCCACGAAGGCCCCACCCCAAGCCCCAGAAAACCTTTTTTGAAACCGGACTTGATGACAGCCCCAGAAATCCTAAACCCCCAAACCCTTGCCAGCACAATCCTTGCCAGGCCCGAGGTAAGAATGCCCTAGGCCTCAAACCCAACAAGCCAATGGAACAGCGGTATCGCAAGATCCAGAACAGGACCGATTCTTCTTCTTGGAGGACACTCGAGCTCCACCGCGTTTCTCGTGGACCTGTACATCAAGGGTCGCAAGGTGGGAATGATCTTCAGTCCAGTCGCAAAGTATGAGGTTGGTATGGCCGCGGGTGAGGTGAAAGAAACGCTGTGGTTCACGGCCGCACTCGATATCCTTAACTCTTTGATCTGAACTCCGTTTTGCAGCGGCTCCTCGATGCGACTTGGTGCAGGGTTTTATTTTTGATTGGCGTGGAAGCAAATGGGCTCGACTGATTTGTTTGGTTGAGGCTTGAGGGGTGGATTGCCCGAATTGAATTCCCCAATCTGCGGAATTCCCAGCCCTGGCTCTACCCTCAGCCCCGAATGGCCATGGCTCGAGCCCTCGGCCCGTGTCCCTTCGACTCTCCCGACACTCGACCATGTCCTCCTGCATGCGCAGCATCAGCTTCCCCAGCCATGCTGGGGTACAGTAGCCCACCGAGTGGCTCTGAGGTTCGGCATGGACATTGGAAGCCCTATGCCTGGCAGAATGCAACGACCATGGGGCACATGGGCTTTGGCAAGGACATCGCAGGTGGCATGACGGCCCACTGTGACAACTTGACCATTGAGTTCGTGCAGACCGATCGTTTCGACTGCTGGACTTCGGATGGCCAGCTTGGACCGAAGCTCGTCGATTTTCATCCTGGACGCATCAGGGTCCATCGCCACCCTCGCTGATGACTCTGCTGACGAATGGCGTGCCGTCAGTTGGTGGCTGCGACGATCTCGCAGGGAAAACGGTGATTGACGTCGGTGGTTGGGCACCCGCTGCCGACGGCCTCGGCTACGTGACCAACAAGAGCTCGAACATGCCGTACTCGGACGGCATTGCCGTTGTCGTCGGCCCCAAGAACGATGGATGCCGTGTTCATCTCCGTGCACATGTCCAAACGGAACAGAAGGGTCATGCTATCAACGGTACCACCTTGGCGACGACGAAGCGCCTGGCTTCGTCATCGTTAAGGTGATACCGTTGATGGCATAGCCCTTCTCCGTGCCAAATTCACACACATGTCCTTGCGGGACAGAAGGGCTATTACCATGCCATCAACGGTACCACACACAGGCCAACAACGATGGCACGTGCGACCACAAGTGGCACCGTGCCCGCGAGTTTCGGACAGCTACAGGTCTTTTGTCTGCTCTGATCGCAGCTTTGAGTCTCTGTGGTATACTGAGCTCGTTTGTGCCGGATCTTAAAGACCTGTGCTGGCGAGTTTGACGGCAGACGTTTCGAGACTGCGCCGATGCTCGCGAGAGAGCGAGCGAGAGAGAGAGACAGAGAGAGAGCAAGCAAGCAAGACAAATAGATTGTCTTGCCAACTTTAGTGGTTTTGGTCCGTTCAGGTCTCAACACGTATTTGAAGAAAACCTTCGCTGTGAGTACTGTGATCGCTGTTGGATTCCCTCGAGAGTCCGGGTACCTGTATCCATCGGGGCCAGTCGTCTCAGTGTAGTGTGGACGAATGCGGCAATGTGTGTCTGGATGCGAGCCCTACAGATGCAACCAGTTTTACTTGGATTGTAGATCTTGTCCTGGCTGTGCAGAGTTCCTAGCTTTCAGAGCAGCCGGCAGTGAATCGCGGGACCTGTTCTGGCATGCCCCCGAGTTGCAGCGTCAACCCCGAGATTCATTGGGCGCAGGTGGCCGTCGGGGCTTTTTGCGGGGAGCGCGAAGCTTAGCCTGGTTAGGCTGTGGGGTCTTAGGAGCTGTTTTTTTTTTTTTTTGCGGCTTTGGGTTCTCAAGAAGTTGGGTTTCCGACTTCATTTTATGGAAGTTCAGGGTGTTAGAAAGGCCGAGGCTTCGACGGCTTTAAAGTTCATTGCCGACTGGCAAAGAGGGCCAAGGCTTCGAGGAGCCTCGGTCCCCTTTGCCGGTTCCGTCGCCGCAAGATCCAAAACCGGCTGCCCAAACAAAGTCAGGAAACCCCGCCCCACCAAGTCCTAAATTCTATTCTATCCCTCATCGCAAACGGGCTTTAAGATCCAGCCAAAATCTCCCAAAAGTCGAACACTTTGCCTGCTGTGAGCAAGTATGAGCGTCGAAGCCCCGCCTACAACCCTGAAGCCCTAAACCCTAAAACCCCAGAGACCAGTATCGCTGCACGCTTTGATACGCTTTGTCCGAGAGTGAGTGTCAAAAAAAGCTTCAGAAGCCCATTCTTCGAACCTCTGGAGGCACAACAAAACATACACCCGTACCCTGAAACCCTAGACCTTCAACCCCAGCCCCATCCATAAACCTTCTTGACTAAGGCCCGGCGCCCCACCCTAAAGCCACGGAGCCCTGTGCAACCCTTTCGATGCCTTGTAGACGATTTGGAAAGCAACCTAATCCCCCCATAGAGCCTTCTATCTAGATACCCAAGCAGAGCAAGAGGCTTTGAACCCAAAACCCCAAACTCTAAACGCCCTAAAACCCTATCCGCTCCGCCCTGCCCCGCCCTAAAGACCCCTGAACCCTAAAGGGATCGAGCTGCAGGTGTGCCGAAGCCCGGAGACCCAGCTGTGTATTTGAGGGTTTGGGGTCTAAAGTTGCTTTGTATTTTCGAGATTCGAGCAGGGTTCTGCGCATGATGGCTCTGCACGAAGTATCCCGGCTATAGGGGCCAGGAAAGGGTGCTCTGGTAAATAAGCCGACTGCTGCTCTAAGAGATTAACGGACTGCGCAGATGTTCGCTCGGGACTGCACCAGGAAGTAACTTCTATGTAAAAGCGCATGGATTGCAAGAGGTGGTTTAGGGTTGTGGGCAGGATTTTGGGTCGTCGCGTTTCGGGTTCGTCTTTTGTTGACTCCGGTTGCAACTCAACTTGCTTTTGCCGAGGAAATTCCTCGGTGTGCCCCTGAATCCGAACCCCAGACACTGAAATCCTAAGCTTGAACATAGAACCCTGAACACCTAAAGCCAACCCTAGAGAACCCTTGAAGAAATCATATAGAACCCTGCCAGCCAAGACTGTTGCTTGAATTGTGGAAACTCCATGCCCAGATGCGGCAGAGGAACTGCCCGAGACATGATTATGCGTGTGCCCTACGCGGGGTAAGGGCGGGTCAGGGTTCAAGAGTTTAAAGCGGGTGCCGAAGCAAAACCGCAAGATTTTGGACAGTGGTGTCAGAAAGTAGGGTCCGCAGTCGTCATGTGCTTCACTTCTGCCTGTTTCTTCGTCGAGCCTCATCCGTACGCCCAGAACTTTGAACCTTAAATCCAAACCCTAAATTCTGAGAGCGGCTGCCTGGACTTCGGAAAAGTCAGCCAACGTCGCAGATTTTAAGTAAAAACGACGGGGTGCAGTGATTTTTGATCAGTTTGGGCATCTCCAAACCCCCCCAAAAGTCGAACCACACATAGACTTCCCCACTGATTTTGCAGGATCGAAGCTGAAACCTATACGTTTTTGACAAGTCCCTAAACCCTGAGCGCCGAAACCCCAACGCCCTGAATCCTAATCCGTCGGGCCGACAGTCGCTCTGCGAGCTGTTGCGGTTGGGATTCCGGGTTGAGTGTACTGTTCGGGGTTAGGGTCCGAGGTTGAGGGTTATTTGAGGTTCGGGGTTTTGGCTTTGAGTTCGGGTGTGAGGTCTAGGTTAGGCTTCATGGTTTGGGTTGTTGGTGCGCCATGGCATTATTTTTTGGTCAGACTCTCAGAAACCCACCGCAACCGCAGTCCCTGAAAGCCTGTTGAGAAGCACAGCGTTTGTGTCGCCAGACTGTGCCACCCCTATGATCTTCAGAGTTTAGACAGTACCTCGTGCCCTGGAACTGTTGACTCGGCTGAGGATTCTATGAACGAGATCGAGGATGTCTTCAACAGCCTGAATCCCTTTCGCTAGGAGCGCTGTCTTGGGGTTTCGGCTTTTGGAGTCTGGGGTTCGGAGTGAAGGTTTCGGGGACTCTGTGACGGAAGAATGAAGAATTCGGGTAGAACAAGGGCCTCAAGGGTTACACCACCTACTCAGGATTTTTGGGTGTGGTTATACTCTAGGTACAGGAAGTAGCCTGAAGGACTAGTGTTGCTGGCGACTGCATTTAGACCCTCCCTTCCTGCTAGAGGTGTGTAGAAAAACCCAGCCGAAAGCTGCGGGAGCCGCTTTGCATGCGAAGCAATACTGAATCCAAGAGACACATAGCCCGGAAGGATTGAACACAGGAATGCTGGCATTATCTCGGAAGGGGCACGTGCTGCTCCAAATAGGATTTGGGGTGGCCGGGCAAGCTCCAATCAAGCCCCGTTTAAAGGGTTTCGAAGTCCCCTGAGACATTGTGCAGGGTGCCTTGGATGTCAATGTCCTACTTAGCTCGTTGCCTTCAGGAAGTTATTTCGGAGTCTCCAGGCGGCCGGCACCTCCATGCTGTACTAGACATCTCGGGCATGGCCTGGGGCTGAGGATCTTCGGGGTTAAGGTTTCAGAGTTCAGGGTTTAGATTTAAGAGTTTGGGGGTTCAAAAACGGGTTCAAGGTGCAAGGTTCCGAAGCTGGGTCTTTTCGACTTCACATCTGTCAGAGATAGGTGCAAGCTTGGCGACAGGCTGTTCCTTGAGAGCATTATAGAGCCTTGCTGAAAACGGTCCATGCTACGGCTTTGGGCTCAAGCTCGGAGAAGAGGCACCCTGAAGATCCTGAGGTCACCACATCCACTGCCCCCTTGCAATGGCGCAGAAACTCGCATTGTTGCTTGCGTTGCAGGTGCTGACCGCCTCGGCTGCCGTGACTTCCTTGACGTTCGGACAGGACATCGACTACCCACCCTATGCTTCCAAAAACGCGACCTCAGGTGAGCTCACGGGCTTCGGCGTGGAATTGGTGAAGGCAATGAACACTCACTGCTCAGCTACTTTGAACATTACCGTCGTGGAGACCAGATGGTCCAACTGCTGGTCTTCGGCCGGAGGAGGCACTCTTGGAGCTTTGCTGGACAATGGCACTCTGGATGCCTGCATGACCTACACGCATACGCAGGGGATTCGCAACGACTTCGCGGACTTCTCTTGGGGCATCCTGGATGTGAATAAGGCAGCTGGCCTCTTAACCTTGCTGGAAAACGGCATGCCCAAATTGGATGGCCACTCGGACCTCAACGGCAAGACCATCGTGGATGTCGGTGGCTGGGTGCTTCCCTCAGGGAAGAGCAATGTATAGCATTAGCAGTAATCATCAGCAAAGTGCACGAGAAGGTGCAGGTCAGACTTTGCACTGCCCTTGCTTGGTGAGTTTGCGCAGGCGTGCACGTGTGTGCAATCAACCGGAAGCTTATGCACAGTTCCGAGACAAGCTCTAGCGTCCAGCCCCTTGCAGGTATGACTTATGTAGAGGCCACTGAAGCAGGCTCCTGCATGATCAACAACGGTTTTAGCATCAGCGCTTTGAGGCCCCTACGGCAGACGGCTTGGACTTCGTGACGAACAAGTGCTTAAACCAGAAGTACTCGAGCAACTACACATTGGTTGTGGGTAATGGCAACGACGAAGCGATGACGATGCTGCGTAACGGCACAGCCGATGCCATGTTCGTGTATGCTGACCAAGCCAAGAACTACCAGTGTGATGGAAGCATGGTTGCGGCATGGGATTGCACGCTGTGGCAAGGCTTCGGCACGGAATATGCCTACGTCCAGACAGGGCAGTTCGGCTACGTCGTCAATGGCACCACCCTGGCGTTGTCCAAGAAAGGGAGTGGAGTGCCGGAGGCGATCAACTCCTGCTTGGCAGAAGTCATGGCAACAGAGGCATATTACGACGCTTGCGTGAAGTACGACTTGGTAGATTCCTGCTACGCCAACAGCTTCTTCCCCAGCTCAGGGATCGTAATCCACGAGTACAACAAGGAGACGGACGAGCATTCGGGCGACTGCTCCAGTGGTTATTGCCCGTGCCCGTCGACTTCGACTCAAACGGCTCAAACTTCGCTTGCGACGGGCTTAAGCATCAAAGTGTTGGCGGGTGCGACACTCTCCTTTTTAGTTGCTCTGCTCCTGTAGCCGAAGCCAGGAAGAGCGTCGAATTGGGACTCCGTGTTGTGAGGTGGTCCGAGTCGGGATCAAACTGCCATAGGCCATGGCAAGAGCCAAGTCCAAAGGACTTCAGAGCTCTTTCCTGCCAGACCACCGCATCAAATTGCACAAGGATCCTCTTGCCTGAGACGTTTCAAGAAGGGGCTAACCCCCCCCTTCCGACCGCGCATGTTTGCGTGTGCCAAAAGGTTATAGCTCTGTACATATCTGTGTGTCCAGCCAGAGTGCCAGAGTTGGTGATGCCTTTCGCTGAGCTGAGGACATGTGCTATCGGCTACAGCTTCGCAGGAGACTTTGCTGCAGAAGCAGTAGACGGGCTAGTCTCAAACGTCTCCAGATTGATGTTAGTACTGGTAGCTGGTAGCTGCCGCAAACAGCTGGTAGCTTCCGCAAACATTTCGGATCCTTTAAGCACGCCTTTCAAGCCGACGACTTGGAGCACTGCGGTGCTTCGGAGGACTCCACTCTGACTTGGCAGGAGAGCTGAATACACCAGTTTGTCGTAGTTTAGGGCACAGTGACAGTGATTAGCTCTTTCACCTGTGATTTCCTGCGAATCTTCTCTTCATTTTCTATCTGAATGCACGTGGAGTAATGATCATACTGTGTACATATGTATATATATAGAAAGAGAGAGAGAGAGAGAGAGACTGCGTGTGTTTGTGTGTTTTTGCATGATGTGGTACGAATTGTGCACACAGCAAACCCTGGCTAATGTAAATCCATATAGAAAGAACGCACACAGTGTAAGATGATCTGTAATATCAGATCATATACACTATGAAACCGAGTATTGTAAAGTATGGTATAAGAAAGCTGAGTACTCTGCCAAAGTTAAAGTATTTTGTATTAACGATAGACTTGAACATTTAACGGAGTGCTTGGTCACTTCCGTCCTCGCCTACAAAGTAGCCAGCATCCGAAGTGTAGACGTCTCAGTCGAATAAGTGTATTTAATCAACATTTACCATGTACCAGTCCAGAAGCAGACAAACGCCGATTTAGTGGCCGGAGTGGCATAAGAAACATTAAGAACAGCAGTAACGGAGCCAAATTCGATGATGAGTAAGTTGGTTTGCACCTGTACCAGCATGCAAAGACGGCGAAGCATAGCACATTGTCTGTAGCCTACAAGCCATGGGATGATTCCCGCCTGTACATTCGACCGCCAGGTCATTTCCGCGAGGGTTTTCTTAACCCTCATGAGCCAGTGGTTGCAGCAACTCATGCTGTAGCAGGCATGACGATAGATCTTGCACATGCCACTTGCCTATGGAAGTTCGCGTGCCCAGGCAAGTCGCAAATTCGACATAGGATGACAGTGATAATGACAAAAGCAGAACTGGCTGAGTCTGGTGATGCCAGCAACGTTGGCCCTGCTAGTGGCACAACCCATGCCAGAACTGACGCCTGAGGGAGAAATGAGTGGTCGGAGCTGTCATAGTAGCAGAAGTGCATTCGAAAGAGCACTGCAAGCTGCACAGGAGGCAAGAAGAATCGCAAGAACAACATGTATGACGTTGTTGATTGGGGAAGGAAGTTTACCAACCCTGATCTCAAGGTTGGTGGAACAAAGTTCCGTGGAACCCCACCAAGAAGCGTTTCTCATCACGAGCTTCACTAGGATCCTTGCTTGATCTCGTATCGACCTGTAGTGCCTCAGAGAACTGTAAGTTCCATCCTGGTATTTGCTCATCAACCTTAGAGTTCTGGCGTACTCGAAAGCCCTGAACTCCCACCATGCTAACTCCGTCGTGTAGGAAGCCATTCCGACAATTGCTTTTGCTTCAGGTCCCTGGCATGTCATGAGTCAGAATTGCAAATGTAAAGGTGCAACGGTTCTCACCTAGGAGACGTGCCACGCCCGCATTCTGAGAGAGACTCGCGAATCATGTCTGACAGATGCTGTCGTCGAAACAAAGTCAACCTCTCAGTGCACACATCATGTTTGACAGATGCTGTCGTCGAAAAAGGTCAGCTTCCCAGTGCACAACAACTTCGGATCTCAGCCATGACGGCAGACAGCCGCAGTCATAGAGACAGAGTCTGAATCGGCGCCTCAGCACGGGACCGTCCGAATGGCGCGGCTGGTGAGGGAGCTGTCCGGGCCGGAGGCTCCTACCGTAAGCTTGCGGGTAAGTCGCGGCCGCTGCGTGTGCATTCATAGAAGTCGGAGTAGTAGTCAAGCAACCAGAAGAGAGAGACCTTGGTTCATGTGCTGGGTTTTATCCTTGATCGTAGGGTTGGTCTTGCAGGACAGACAGATGGCGAGGCTCAAAAATTCGAGGTTCAACATAGGGTACGCGTGGCCCGAAGAACCCTCAAATCCCATCTTGTGCTTCCACCATGTGAGAGCCAGGACGGCACGGGGAGTTTTTCGCTTTGCCGCGCCCGCACCTCCAGCTTCCGTGGCCGAAGGCACAGAACTCCCTGGTGCGAGGGTTTGCATTCGGAAGCCTGAAGTTGGAACTCTAGCCTGGTCTAGTACGGCTGTTTACTTGAACGACCTTCCTCTGAATCCTGAACCCCGGAACCATACATGAGGCCTAAACCCTACGTCCCGTGATCACCGGCAGCAACACCAGCAGCACCAGTGTAGATCTGAGCAGAATGCCGGCTGTCGTCATTCTCGCAGCTGCAGTGAGGTCAACATGCGGCGTGCAGCTGACAAAATCCCCCGAAAAATCCGAAGCACCAGGGCAGACCTCCTCACCATCGAGTCCGCAGCAAAAGCTTCGAGTCCGTCCCCCGCTCCAACGCGCCTGAACCTGCCCGGGAGCTTTGGATCTGATTTAGAGAGTTAGCCTAGAAGGGTTGGATACAGGCGATACAGGGCTTCTGGTTGGGTTGCTGCAGTGCTTCTTGAAGGATTTTTGACTTGAAGAAGTATCTAATTAACCCGAAATTTTGCAACAAAGTGCACCTTGCAGGATCGTAGACTTCTTGTGGCACTGTGCTTGTGCAGGTGCTTGTGAATCATTGCGGCATCGTGCGCAATGACCTACTTTCGTGAAGCCCCCTTGTGCCTGTCTTTCCACATCGCTCGCACACGATGGCGCACAGTTTCGCCCCGGATGCACAGGCCAGACTCTAGATTTCTCGACTAGATGACTGCTGTCACCATCTTGGCAACTTTTTTCCACGCCTATTTCTCCCATCCAGTCACCAGTGTTTCCTCGCCCACAACCTCCAATACTGTTGAGCCCAGCTGCGAGGCCCGAGCTCCCAAAGCCCCGATAATGGCAGAGGAGTGCCCAAGGCCCAAGGCTCCACGAGGGCCCAGATGCTCTTGCTCTCTCTCTCTCTCTCTCTCTCTCTCTCGCTCGCGCGCTCGCTCAGCTCTACTCATGATGTGTGCATACACATACATACACACACATGTACGTATATGAGCAAATAAAAAATAAGTCAAGAAGAGAAATATATATATATATGTGTATATACATATACATATATATATATATATAAGCCGAAGTCCGTGTTGAGGATAGCTGGCCGCCCGAGCACGTGCGAGAAGTCACGGCCACTGACACCCCGGCCGAGATCTTCCCCGGCGGCGGCTTCCTTAGTGAAGTTTGAGTGTTGTTGTAAACAGCATCACAACGCGGCGAGTTTCGCTCCTCGAGACAGATGCCGGTCGCTTCCGTAGTTGACTTTTCCTAAGACCTAATTTTAACGCTACGCCGCTCGCCTCGGCTAGCTGGAGGCCAGGGACGGGGGCAGCGGAAGGGCGGAGAGAGAGTGGTGGAGAAAAAGGGAAGAGTCGGGGCAGGGGGCAGGGGGGGTTGGCGGCAGGGGAGGGGAGGAGGGAGGCCGAAAAACAGCAGGAAAAGGGTGGCAGGGAAAGGAAAAGGCAGGAACGCAAAAAAGCGGGTGTTGGCGGAGGGTATGTGAGCTGACCCCCAAGACGCCAGGGCCTGTGGCCTCGGCGGATTACCATTCCACATTTGCCTGAGGCGGGCAGAATCATGACAGTTTACGGTCATCGCTACTCTTGTTGTCGTCATCAACATAAGCATTGTTCTCACCACTCTGGAAGGGTTGTGTTACTGCTAGAGGTGGCTAACCTGCACTTCTGTAGTTTGATTTTGCCGTCTGTCTTGTTGCTGCCCGTTCTTCTTGTCGGTGTTCCAGGGATCAGCTCGAGAGGCTTGTGACGCTACCATGTCCAGGACATTTGTTGTTTACCAGGCCAGCTGCAAAGCCTCTTAGCATCTCCATGGCTAGCACCAGACATCTGCTGTTATGACCCCTTTCGAAGCCTTGATCCGGAGTGGATCCCCGGAACTTTTTAGCAACATTCCTAATGTCCTAAAAACCCTCGTGGAACTTTTGCCTAGCGCAGCCGGCTCAGCCTAGGCAGAAGACTGCGAACGTGAGATTCGCTCCCAGCCGCTGAGCAGTTGGCGCAAACCACAAACCGAGGGAAAGGACGAAAGAGACCAGAGTAGATCACAGTGTATCACAGGTCGACTTGCGGCTTACTGCAGGTTTAACAATTGAGTATCGGTTCAAGGTTGCTGCGATTGTACTTGGGGGCTTGCATTTTGGGCAGGATGTCGTCGCAAGGGTGTCGAACGCTTGTGGGATCGTTTGAGCCTTGGCGGCTGGTTCCGGACTTGGCATGCATGCTTTGGGTTCGGGGTCGATGGTCGTCGACTCGTGCTGAGCTGTGGTAGACGACCGCCCAGAGCAAATATTACCACTGCCTCGCATTTTGCGGTGTGGGGGTGCTTTGGGCACAGCTGCTCTGAGTTTCCTGGCAAACCCTCAATGCCCAGCAGGACTTCGCTTCGAACCTGTCGCGAAAGCCCACTGCAGCCTCTGACGCAAACTCCAGGGAAGGTGGGGCAGGGGGGGGCGGCTGGCTGGCCCCGCTAATGTGCCTCCGTTGTGTGCTCCTGCAACACAGATGCCCTCCCCATCTCCCTATATTTGCGTTCCCAATCGATTTCGCAGTGTGCAGC